CCCTCTGCCCTGCCCCCCCACAGCCCGTACGCGGCCCCTTTGCAGGGCCTCCCTCGCCCGCCGCCCTGCAGTCCGGCCCCAGGGCTCAAACCCGCGCTGTCGCGCCCCGCTGTGGGCCGGGGCCTGGCCCGAGTCCTCGCGGGTGTCCTCGCCAGGCTTCCCGCTCACCCCGAGGAGTTAGGTGTCCCGGGCCCCTCTGCACACAGGGAAAGTGAGGCGCAGGGGTGTGTTGAGTGGCATCACAGCTAATGCTGGGCTGTACTTAGATTGGATCCTGGAAGATGGCCTGAAGGGCGCTGTGGGAGGCGGCTGGAGATAGACAGCTGTGGGGCCTGCGCGCTGGTCTTGAGGCTTGAGAAGGACGAGGGGAGGACCCCCCGGGACTTGGGAGTCACCAGGCCCAGGGCAGCTGAGCAGAGCGAGGGCACACGGTGGAGGGGGTAAAAATGCACTCGTCCAGGGGCTTCTTAAGGCGTCCTTAGGAGCCTGGTGTTTGTTCTTTAACCAGCAGGGAGCCTTTGGAGGGTTTCAAGCAGGAAGTAATATGATTTGTGTTCTTTAAAAAAAAAAAAAAATGACAACCTTGCGGTAGGAACTGAAACCAGAAGCAGGGCAACTTTCATTTTTATGGTATCACTTTGATCCTCACCACAAGCCAGGAGGTAGGTCAGGCACGCACTCCTTTTGCAAGGTGAACTTCCTGAAGCTCAGAAAGGTAACCCACCATTCCGTTCTCAGAAGCTATAATTTGACTCTAGTTGTAACAGAAGCAGGTGAAATAAAACGATTTTGCTTAGTAAGAGTTTTACTATATATGCTTTTATTGTTCTTTAATGAAATGTATTACGGTTATTTGTTGCATTTTTTTTAAACTAAATTGAAGTTTGCAAGGAAGTGTGTCTGTGAATGTGAGCCCCAGGGCTTTGGTACCCAGTGTTTGCTCCACCTGGAACTCTCTTCCCTCTGCGTGGAGCTTCTTACTCTCTCACGTCCTTTAGGCTTACGTGTCACCTCATTAGATGCCAACTGACCACTCTCTATGTAATAGGAACCACCCACCACCTTCCATGCTTTCACACACACACCCCACCCCCTGACTCTGCTCTGTTGTTCTCCAAAGCAGCTATTGTCCGCCACAGCCCTACACTGTGCACTTATTTATTTCTTGATTGTGTGTCCCTCTCCCAGAACATTAGATTCATTAAAGCAGGGACTTTGTTCACTTCTGGGTCCCTGGCACATAATGCGATACTTGTGGAGTAACTGAGTGCAGCTTTGGGTGATGAGAAGTAAGAAACTGTTATTTAAAGTATAAGAAGGGAGTGGGAGTCAGGGAAGGGAGTGGAGGGACAAAGGGGATTACAGTGAGGAGATCTTGGCGGGGCAGCGGGGGCGCTTTGTGTGGTAGACTAAAAATGGCCACGAACGTGTTGACGCTGCTCCCCACAAGAGATAGAATCTAGTCATTTACCCCTTGAATGTGGATGGCTCTTGTAACTTGCTTTGACCAAGAAAATGTGTCACAAGGGATGTGGCGTGACTTCTGAGCCCAAGCTGCCGGAGATGGTATGGCTTTCGTGTCAACTTCTAAAGTCCAAGCAGGCCTGCTGAGGAGGCCGCGTGGAAGAGCACAGAGCCTCCCTGGCTGACAAGCTGCCACCTGCCAGACACGTGGGTGAGGCTGTGCTTGACCACCCAGCCCTAGCCAAGTATTCAGCCAGCACCAGAGACCCAGACGGGCCAGCACAACCGTGGAGCTGTACCCAGCCCAAAATGGCCAACCGGAGAATCATGAGCAAATGAAATACTTGTGGTTTTAAGCCTTTAGATTTTGGCATAGTCACACAGCCATAGATAACTGATACATTCGATTACCTCAGCCTTACCATGGTGCATTCAAAACTGATGTTCTTGAGGGCAGCTTTGTTCTGCCTAACGAAAGCAGAAAATCAGGAAAGGGCAAGAGGAAAAAGTGATGCCAACAGGTACAAAGAGGAGAAAAGGTAGACGTAGGAAATGAGCAATAGGTTGTCCAACAGAGACCCTCCTTATCCCCTGAGCATACTTTGTGGTGCCTAAGAGCTCAGGTTCCGGAGTCCATGAACAATGGAGCAGACCCAGTCCAAGTTCAACTGTTCACCAGGGCCTGGCGCTGAGCAGGTTGCATAATGTCATTGCTCATCTGTTAATAGAGGTTATAGAGAACCTCCATAACATTAGGTTGTTGTGGGGAGAAAATGAACCATTCTCGTAAAACACTCAGCAGAGTGCTTGGCACAATATACCCTCAATAAGTGTTATTGATTAGCAATAGCATTACTGTATGGGTTACTGTTATTCTTGATCACGGAGGGGTATTCAGAGGACCACCCAGACTGTAGTGTTAACAAAAGCTGATTTTACCCGGCTCTGTGGGTCAGATGCTGTATCGACGGTCTCCAAACTTCACAGCAACCCCGCAGCATGGACATGTTAACATCACCCTCATTTTATTGTTGCAAAAACCGTGACAATGGAGAAAGGAAGTGATGGGACAGGTAGCAGGGCTGGAACTCAAAGCTACAGTCGGTCCCACTGCAAAGCATGCACTCCTCCCTCTCCCTGTACAGCCTCTGCTACACTCAGACCCCACACAAAAAAACAAAACACACAAGACCATGTGGCTTCTCCCCTTCCTGCACCGCGCCAGACAGGCTGAGCACTGACCTTATGTGGGAAGCATTCAGGAAGGGCTTCCTGTGTATTGGCAAAGCAGCTGCGCAAACCCTGGGAGCACTTCCCCCTTGAAATGCACCCTCCCACCTCCCCAGTCTGATGAGGGCTTGTCCCTAGGAGGGACTTGCTCATAGTGGAAACAGAAACACACTTTAAGGCTGTGGGTGGATGCACACTAAGGAGGATGCACGGTAAGAAGCTGATGTCACCGAGGAGACACCGAAGCCCAAATCATTGCCCACCTCATGGCGCCGACCAGACTGCAGATCCACACAGAGAAACTGGAACGAGAAAAAGTGGGATCCAGGAGACTGGTGCCTGGGGCAATTGTAGATCCAGTCGGATGTGCCGCTGGGAGATATGGTTGTGCCATACGGCCTCCAGGGATGCCGGCCCTGAGGTGTTAAGAATCAGGAGACTGGTCAGGGAAGAGGGACACGCTGCAGCAGAACAGAGAAAGGAGTCTGACCAACCTGGTTCAGCTCGCCCACGTGACAGCCCAGGGGCCCTAAGCAGGCCGCTCTACCTCTCTGAGTCTCAACTTCCTCCTCTGTGGAATGGGGGGAAGGGGGAGGTAGGCTGCAAGAGCAGAAGGGAAGGGGGCAAGGGGCACCCCTAGGCAAGATGCTCAGAGGAGAAGCAGGGCAAGGGAGGGACAGTTTGAGGGACCAGAAGCCAGATTCCCTCCTTCAACGTCTGGCCAGTGTAAAGGCAAGATGGGCCACAACCACCACGTGCACCTTGCCCAGAAGAGAACATTCTGAACTTTCAGGAGAACTAGGCTGTTGATGCAGGTTTTACTATATGTTTGAAATTTCACTTTCCGTAGGAATTTAATGTAGGGATGTAGGAATGTGGGACTATTAACACCTCCGAGGAGAGAGAGGAAGGATCATGCCCCCCAGGGGTGCCTACAGTGGGTGCACCTCTCTTGAGGGGACATGTGAACAGTTTGCCCCAGGTGTGGGTTCATCCCCAGCTGGAGCTAGGGGTGCCCCAGACACTCCTGCTCACACAGATCTCTCTACTCCTTGCCCTGCCATGGCATCCCAGGTCCCTTTGATACAGAGAACACTAGCTGGACCTCTCCCAGGCCCCGTCAGGAGGCTCAGCCCTAGGGGCTAAGCTGCCTATAGCAGGGAACAGAGGACCTCATCTATGGGGCTCTCCAGGGATAATGCTCCCTGGTCTGAGCCTCACACCCACTTCCCACTACTCACAACCCCTCCCCCAACACACAGAGGGGAAACCCTTTCCCTGTATAGTGCTCAGCAGGTCCCGGACAGGGACAACCCCCCATCCTCCTAACCTGAAATGCCCCTTTGGTGTGGAAAACTTGCAGCTAGCACTCAAATTAGCATCCATCCAGAATGCCCACATACCTGCACCAGCCTCTAGAAAAGAAAAGGTCTACATTTTCAGGGAAATTCTGCCCCAAACCATTGGTTATCTCATTTAATTGTCACAACTCCTCGGATAAGTGCTATTAAATGCATTTTCCAGATGGGTAAACTGAGGCCAGAAGTTGATGTCTACCCAGCTCAAGTCTACCCAGCATGTAAGTGGCAGAGACAAGATTCGAACCCAGTTTGTGTGGCTCCAAGGCTGTGCTCTCAGTGACTGAGCTCCTTGGCTTCCCAAGTCAGGGGGCGACCAGGACGGAGTCCAGAGGAGGCTCTCTTGCCTTCTCCCGAGGGTGGATAAGGAGTGCATCCTGGTTTAGCAAAAATGATGCAGTTGCAGGGCCTCCCCTGGACTTGTTCCTATCGTGGGCTGGACAAAAGTCATTATCATTGCTTTGATCAGTATTAAATCCCCACTAAAGCAATGTCCTCTCTGCAAATTTTGTGGGGGTCATGCTCAGCGCTGAAGGCTGCCGCTTTCCGGTGTCTGCAAGGTGAACAGACAGCCCTTGAAGGTTTCCCACTTCTCCTATCTTCTTGGCTTTTTTTTTTCTCTCCCAAGTTCCAGTTTCCTCTCGCCACTCTCTATCTTTCTCTCTCAAATAAATAAAATAAAATAAAAATAAAAAAGGACTAGACTCACTCACTCATGGAACTTCGGATCAGGCTGTCTAAGGCCTATCTCTCAAGGATGCTTGCTCTCCCACCTGAAGATCTAGGGTCCCGTCTCACACAGTTTTCCGCTTGTGATGGCAAAGTGGCCCCATCCCGTGCCCTCAGCAGCCTCTGGGGAGAATCTGCCCCTTTTCCAAGTGTCCACAAAGTCTCCTGGCTTTGTTCGGCCATGGACCCAGAGGTAGACTTAGCCTCACCCAAATCAAACCAAACCAGAGAGAGCGTGTGCTGGTAGGAAGGGAAGGGGTGGTGGGCAGCCGAAATGCCAGAGGTCCCCCCCTTCCTCTGGTCCCAGAGGACCCCGCTCTGCCTTCAGACTGTTCATGGCCAAAGGGTGTGCGATGAAGAGCCCGGGCAGTGGGCTCTCTCCCAGACCGTACCCCTGCAGCGTCTCGGAGAGAAAAGGCAGTCAGAGCCGAGGTGGTGGGATGGGAGAGTGCTCAGAGCTTCCACGGGGATCCGGTCAGAGGGCACCCAGGGCTGACCTGGCTGCCGCTCTCTCCTCTCAGTGCCCCGGGTCAGGCTGTGTCCTCTCCGTTCTGGCTTCCCCCAAGTTAGCTGGTGGAAGCAGAGAGAATAGGGACACATGATAGTATCAATTAATAATAGATATTATTGGGGAGCCGGGGTGGCTCAGTCGGTTCAATGGCCAACTCTTGATTACCGCTCAGGTTACCAGCTCAGGGTCGTGAGATCGAGCCCCGAGAAGGGCTCTATGCTGGGCGTAAAGCCTGCTTAAGATTCCTTCTCTGTCCTTTCCCCCTCTAAAAAAATAATAATAGATATTATTGTTGTTGTTTCTCCCCCACGTCTTTTTCTTTTTAATAGGCCTTATTTTTTTTGGAACAGTTTTAAATTTACAGAAAAATGGAGTTAATGGTGTAGAGTTCCCATAGACCCTGCACCCAGTTTCCCCTATTATTAACATCTTCCATTAGCATGATACATTTGTTACAATTAATTAACCAATACTGATGCATTGTTACTAACTAAAGTCCATAGTTGATTCAGATTTCCCGTGTTTTAACCTCACATCTTTCCCCTGCCCAGGACCCCATCCAGGACCCCACACCGTGTTTAGTTATCTTGTGTCCTTGGGCTCCTCTTTAGCCGTGACCATTCCTCAGACTGTCCTTGTCTTTGATGACTTTGACAGGTTGGAAAAGTGCTGGTTGGGTGCTTCTTAGGAAGACCCACTACTGGCTGGAATTTGTCTGATGGCTTTCTCTTGATTAGAGCAGGGTTGTGCTTTATTGGAAGACCCCAGAGATAGGGAGACATTGTCATCACATCAAGCTCTCATACCATCCACATGACGTCGGGCTGTTGATGTTGGACTTGATCACCCGGCTGAGGCTGCGTCTGTCAGCAGTCTCCACTGTGAAGCTGCTCTCCGCACCCTCCCTTCCAGGCTGTATGCTTTGGAAGAAGCTCACACCTGAAGAGTGGGGAGTCACAATCACCCTCTTTGAGGGCAGAGGGTCTGCAGACATTCTTTGGAGTCCTTTGGCATAATCTGCTATCACTTTATTTATTTTGTTGCTCTTGGGGATGTTGTTAACATCCAAAATACCTTCAAGCTTGAAATCATCCATTCAAAATCAGGCTCGTGTTTGGCATGGATTAGAGCTGCAGGAAATCAGCCTAGATGACACACAGAAATCTCCAAGCATGAACAGAGCCAGGTAGGCAGCAGGTCTGTGGGAAGAGATTGACGGGTCTCATTATTAAGCTGTAACCCACCTCCCGTGTCTGCAATGTTCGTTCCCTCCTTCAGCCCACTTGTGCTGAGCCCCTGGGACATGCCACACAGCATGCTAAAAACCAGGTTGTTGTGGTCTGGTGGGGACAGCCAAGTAAACAGGTAATTATGACATGGAGCCATTCAAGCAATGCTGTTACAGAGGTGATGTTTGTGTTGGATCTTAAAAGCAGTCAAGGTCAGGGAAGGACATCCCTGGGGAGGGCACAGCATAGAGTGTAAGAGGTCGTGTCCTTTGGGAAGGAACCAGGTTCTGCTGGGTCACTGACAAGGCAGACAAGGCCTACAAGGCATTTGGAGCCAGAATATGGGGCTTGAGATTTTGGGGAGAGGACAAATTGATTGTGAGCCAGTCAGGACTCAGCTATGAAGCTACCATAACAGAAACTAACCCTGGTGGTCATAAGCCAAAGGAATTTTACTGGAAGGCATTCTTGGAGGAAGAGCTTCAGCTGTGATTGGCAGAGACTCTACTGCAATAGGGATAACACAGTGGGATTTGTTCTGTCACATAAACAAAGTCCAGAGGTTGGAAGAAGAGAACTGTGTGGAGACCCCATAAACTCATCAGAGGCCCCAGCTCTTTCTGTTTCTGCTCCACCGTACATGACTTCCATTCTCAGATCATTTCATGGTCTAGAATGGCCACTAGAGCTCCAGCCATTGCTTCCACTTTCCAAGCAACAGGAAGGAGGAGAGAGAAATGACCAAATGGCACACTCTCCTGAAAGTCCCACCCAATACTCGTGTATACATCCCTTTGGCAGGGACCTAATCACAGCCACACCAGCTTGGAGAGAGGCTGGGGAATGAAGTCTTTTGGCCAGCAGATTACAGTCTAAAAAAAAATGGATTAAACTGAGGAAGTCATCCAGAGGATCTGCCACAAAAAATACCAGGGGGCTCATTGAGCCGAAGTGAAGCTAGAGAAGCAGGATGAACCCTGGGCAGGACCCAGGGGCCTTCTGGCACCAGGCAGGAGAAATGATCAGGAAGGACCTCACTGCTCTGCTGCTCACCACAACAGGAATCTATTCTTGCAGAGATCTTATCTCCCCACCACTTGCTCAAGATTCACATTCCCAGACAGGTGTACCCAGATGGCCAGTCTAGGTCACATGACTGAGCTCAGCCAGGCGGAGGGGGAGGGGGAGTCTCATGCTTCAGGAAGGGGGTTGGTTTGGGGTGAGCCACAGAAGACAGACAGCCCCAGGGCCCCACACTGTGATTCCTCCTAGAGAAAGTCCCCATCTCAGGAGGGCCCAGAGCCTCCAGATCCAGCTCCGTCTTCCACTAGCTTCTCTTGCATGCTCCTCTGCCATTTCTTCCCTCTTCCCTTTCTAGACTTTTCTATTCTCTCAGTTCCACTGAGGCGGGAAGAGTTAATGAGACCGTGTCAGAGCTGGACACAAGAGATGACCATATAGTGAGCTCTTACTGAGTACCAGACCCAACACCAGGGGCTCTGCCCCAGGTGGTTTGGAGCCAGCTTTGCCAACTGCTGAGGTTTTAGGGTTCTGTGAGCCGATTGTTAAACACAGCCACCGACAAAAATCAAATTATATAAACTTACAATTAAATAAATTATATCAAAAACAAAGGTAAGAGGAGCGCCTGGATGGCTCAGTCAGTGAAGCGGCTGCCTTCGGCTCAGGTCATGATCTCAGGGTCCTGGGATCGAGCCCCTCATCGAGCTCCCTGCTCAACAGGGAGTCTCTTTCTCCCTCTGCCTCTGCCCCTCCCCCTGCTCCCTCTCGCTCTCTCTCTCAAATGAATAAATAAAATCTTTAAAAAAAAACAAAGGTAATAAATATCCCAAACTCATCATATCCTGATGGCTTTACTACATAGTGCCATCATTTACGCTCTCGTCTGTTATATCTTTACAGCGGAACTCCGCGGAAATGACAGGACGAGCTGCTGACGTCTCTTCCTGACTGAATTCAGTAACGTCAGGTTGGTAGCTCGAAATCAGCCACGGTGGGAATATGCACCCCTTGCAGACTGGCACATGCTACAAATCAGGGCTCTCCCCCGCCCCGGGAACCTGTTACATTTACCAGCATACCACGGTCTGTCTACATGCCGCACTGGGAGGTGACATACAATCTGGAAACAAATGAGACAGGGACCTTTAGAACAAAGCTTCATTTTAGTCCAACGAAATGAAATTCATTCTAAGCACCTATTAATCCCGTGCCTACTTTTTGCTTCCTCTGCTGTGACTCTTCATGATGATAGCTATGATTTTTGAGCATTTATTAGATACTAAGCATATAAATTTGTATTCTCTTATTGTGACTTTCAAGTTCAGTGTGATTATTGTCCCATTTCATGAATGAGAAAACTGAGGCACAGAAGGGTTCAGACGCTGCCCAGGATCAAACCTCTTGTCTGGCTCCGTGTGTATCTGCCCCTTTCTAGCCCGAAACAACCCAGAATCTGCAACTATGTCATCGGACGCGTGGTCACTTTAAATTCCAACTGGTCGGGGCGCCTGGGTGGCTCAGTTGGTTAAGCGACTGCCTTCGGCTCAGGTCATGATCCTGGAGTCCTGGGATCGAGTCCCACATCGAGCTCCCTGCAGTGGGGGGTCTGCTTCTCCCTCTGACCCTCTTCCCTCTCGTGCTCTCTGTCTCTCATTCTCTCTGTCTCAAATAAATAAATAAATAAAAATCTTTAAAAAATAAATAAATAAAAATAAATTCCAACTGGTCTTGATATCCACTTGTTCTGCTTTTTCTGAAATGTCATTTATTCTTTGGCTTGAGCGATTTTCCTTTCCACCTTCTCCAGCTCTCTGCGACGGTGATCAAGCCCTCTTCTTTGGAGTGACCCAGCCAAAGCGAGTAGTTTATAACCTTCAGCAGATAATTAATGCATGTGACAACGCACAGGCATCGCACATACGTCAGCAGTAGGATGGGGAGGAGTTCACGAGCACCAGAGCTACAGATAAATTATAGGGGAAAGGCCTGCACCCCCTCCCCTGGGAACCCACACTCTGAGGCTGGCTCCTCCTTCCCACAGCATCCTTGTTAACAGTGCTGGTAGCCAGTGTGGTCCCCCTAAAGGGGGAAACCGAGGCAAGGAAGTGACTCACCCGGGGCATCAGCAAATTAGGACCAGAGGTGTGTGGGACACAGGAGTTCTGGGCAGAACCCAACCAAGAATGGGGATTACCTCGGGCTAAATCCAGTGTTTGTTGAATGACTGAATGAAGGTTTCCCTACGTACTCCTTTCTTCCCCGTGATTACGTACAGTGTGTTACCTTTGACCCTCTGGCTTTATTTTTGTATTTCTTGACTTGCCTGCATGGTAAACTCCTTAGGATAAGGAACAAAGTGACCTGAGCTCCCTTAAATTGAGTTCGTCTTTACAACGGGGATCATAGGGCTGTTATGAGGAATGAGCAGCATCCGCCTAGGAAAGAGTTGGCGCTTCGCTTACAGCACATCTCCTGCACAGACGCTCATCCGATAGGGGCCCTCAGGGTGCCTGCCGGTCTGATGCCGGAGGGCGCGAGCGCCCGTGGTCGCCATCCTCAGGACATGTCATGTCGGGGACAGTGACCAGGACTCTCGGTACGTCCCCTAAACGGGCTTTGAGGACACATATCTGTGTAGAGAGACTTGTGCCTAAATTGGCAGCCCAGAGCCGCCTCCACGAGCAACAAAGGAACTCTGGGCTCCGCTTGGTTGGTAATTACCATCTCCACCTGGAAAAATCCCTGGTGACTCAGCTGGGTGGAAATACCACCGATGCCTCAGGGACAGGAAAAGAGCTGGGACCTCGGCCAACCCCAACGGGAGGCAGCTGTCTGGTTCCCGGTGAAAGTCAACGTGGGCTCTCACTCGCCTCTCAGGAAAGACCACACAGCTGGGGACCCAAAGCTGCCTCCTATGTCACTTCGCCCTGCTCGGCCTTGCGCCCCCGGTCCGTGGAAGGACAGAGGACTTCGGTGAGCTCCCGGGTGGCCCCTTGAGCTCTGAAGTCCGGGGAATTCACAAAAGGGTGACATTTAGCCTGTGATAGGAGTTCTCCGAGGGCGAGGACGGAGCCTGGTTCTCCCACAAATTGCAAAGCCAGCCGTGAGTGCTCAATAAATAAATCATTCTGCCCGCTTTAAAACAAGGCTTTAGGAAAATTCCCCCACCTGCAACAGACTGACACGTGGCAGCAGGCTGATTTCGAGGACAAACAAATTGCAAGGTCCTTGGTGTTAGGAACCAGCTGAGGTTTTATGTAGATCAGAGCAGAGCCCCAGGTGCACCTGCGAGGGGCAGGCCTGCAGACACAGACTTGACAAGGGCATCAGAACAAAGGTGCTGAGCTAGGATGGTGGCGGGCCAAGGTGTCCGAGAGTGAGGGGTTTCAGGAAGAGACTTCGATGTAAACCCGGCCAGAACCGCGTGTACTTGTCACCCAGGGATCCACCGCCGTCCGTGCAAGTGGGTGGCTTGTATTTAAATATGTGGATTTGTTTGTATTTTTCGGGAGAACATAGAGTTTGGGAGCCGGAGGGATGTGTCATCCTGTGTTTCCTTTCTATCCACGGGTATGCCAAGTCGAGGACTCTGGTTCAGATGAACACAGTCGTCTGCCTTAAAGGGTCAGCAGGCAGGAAGTGTGACTTAGGACGGCCCCAGGCACCACTGCAGGTGACGCCTCTGGGTCATCCTTGAGGCCTGACACACGGGAGTGCCTTCTGCATCCAGCTGTCTCCTTCCAGTTGATGAATCAAGCAGCAAGTATTCATGAGTACCTACTCTGTGCGCAACGCTAGGCCACGTGCCGTGGAAGGGCAGAGAAGGTGCGGACAGTGCCATAGGCCCATGTAGACTGCAGGGGCACCCACTGGGGAGAGGAAGGGCCTTGGGGGCCTTGCGGGCTGTTCCTGGGGTATGGGCCCACGCCCAGCTCCTCTCCGCTCATGGGAAGGTCCCTGCTATCTCTTCAGAGCTTCACTCTTCCACAGTCACCCTGTGCTAATGACCCCCAAACCTGGACCTCGGGCCAGGCTTCTGCCTGGACTCGAGACTGGGGTCCAACAGGCACATTGAGCTCATGGTACCCCCAAATGGAAGAAACCCCCAACTCCCAGCAGGCTGTCCTTGCTCCTGGAGCCCGGCCCTCTTCATAGCCCCCTCCCCAAGTCCTCCCTCTGCCCGTCCCCTCCACCCACCCCGTTACCAGTTCCTGTTGCTTTCCCAGGCCAAATCTTTTCTAATCCATCCTGTTGTTTCCATCCCTGCCTGGACCCCCAGGGCCGCCCCAGTTCCTGGCCTGCGCAGGCCTGGGCCATTGTGTCTTCCCCGGACTGTGAGGGCTAATCTACATCCATCCAGTACATTCCGTTTGTGCTAAAGTCAGCCAGAGTCCATTTGGATTGCTTGTGCCCGATGAACCAGAACTGCCCTGCTCCTGCCCCTGCCCTCATGCAGAGCTAGCCCTACTTTGTGGAGTGCTCTCTCTCCAAGGTGGGCAAGGCACCGTGTCACCCGGCAGATTCGGGGGTCCTACTCTTTGCCCCTGCTCTTCCTCTGACTCTCCTCAAAATAGCAACAGTCACACTGTATGCAGATCTCGGAGGCAGAAGGTTCCTGGGACTCTAGGCCTGGTGGGCTCAGTGGTGGGGATGGTCTCCCTCAGCTCCAGGCTGCTTCTCTCAAGGGTACAGCCGCAGGGTCTCGTGAGGACACCCCTGCCCAGCCTGGACCCCCCCCCACACACACACACCTGAGACTGAAACCGGCACATGAACACCATCATCTGGACCTGTTGTGTCCGCATCGTTGACCAAGCATCAACACCAAGGTGTGGTCCCTTCTAAAGAAAAGGGACAGCTAACAAATTCTGCCAGCTCTTCCCAGAGCCATAGCTGGCCAGCACTTCCCAGTGGCTCCCATTGGAACCACAGCTGGCATGGTGAAGGGCAAAGAGCCCACGCCAATGAGCGCTGTAGCTGGGCTTACATCTGGGCTTGGCGGCTTCCTAGCTGTGGGACCCCTGGACAAGTCACCTAACGTGCTGAGGTTTTCTTTTTTATTTTAAGTTTTACTTATTTAAGTCATGTCTACCCCCGACATAGGGCTTGAACTCATGACCCTGAGATCAAGCGTCGCACATTCTTCTGACTGAGCCAGCCCGGCGCCCCACCTAACGTTTTCAAGTCCCATTTGCTTTGTCCGAACAATTAGGGATGGTGACACTTCGTTGTCAGACTATTGTGAGCAGGGAGGAACCGAACACGTGCCGGATGTCCATGCGGTAACATGTGGTCTCCTGTTGGCCCCCTGCCCTCGGCCCCGGTGTTTGAAGGAAGGGGCAGGACAGCCCCGACCTCTCTGTCGGCTTGGGGCGTGGGGAGCCGGGGCCTGACCAGGCTGGGTTCCGCCCCTCCCTCCCTCCCTGCCCTGCCTTCCGGTCACAGCCTCACGACGCAGGGAACTTATAGGACAGGCCCTGGCCAGCCTGGAGCGGCGGCAAGTTCCTTTCCAATTGGGCCGTACGGTATTGGTTGTGAGTCAAGCCTCCTCAAATTCAGGCTCAGTGGTAATAAAGCCGCTGTTTGCATCTCCAACGTCTTTCTCCTTGGCCTAGGACTCAGGAGGGAAGAGGGAATTTATTTATTTAGCAAATACTTGAATAGTGCTCTCGTGCCAGGCCTGATGCTAAGAGCTTCACTGATTACAACCCATTTAAACCTCGTAACAGTCTTGCAGGTCGTGAGGCCTGTGACCCCCCCCCCCGTTTGACAGATGACCCCGAGTCCAGAGAGGTAGAGGCCCACACGACCTGCAGCTACCTGGGAGGGGGTGAGGGTTTGAACTCAGACGGCTCAGCCCCAGGTCCCTGCTCTACACGTTGGGCAGTGTTCAGAGCCTCGGCCAGCCCGTCCTGTAACGCTTGCTCGATCCACAAAGCGCCCCGGCCTGTAAAATATATTAGGCTGGGAGTCCTATTTTAAGACAAAGCTGCGGCTGGGAGGAAATAGATAAGGAATTTGAGCTTCCCGGGGCTCTGGGTCCTGCAGACCCTCCCACCGGCGTGGATCAGTGCGGCTGAGGCGTAGCTGGGTGAGGCCTAAGGGGGATCAGAGGAGTATGCGGGGGTGGCTCCCCTCTGGTCTGCATGCCTGCGGGTGGAAATTACTAACTGGATATCGAAATACACCAGCTGTGGCGAACACATTTAATAAGTGCGTGGAAGCATCCCGAAAGAGGAGCGGGGGAGAAGGTCGCTTCAGACCAAGGACAGGCAGGCGGTGTAAGCCAGCGGGCCCAGGACCACGGCTGCCTTGAAGGAAAGCTCGTGCCGAAGTCCTAAAGCCCGGGGAAGCAGATGAGCCATGCAGAAGCACATGATCCTCTTCTCTTGAATGATTAATGTAAATTTAGTGAGGGTGCATATGGCAGGGGGAAAATAGCAGTAGGAAGAAGGCTGTGCACCCAGCGCGGGGTGGGGGGGCGGGGAGCAGTGGGTGCTGCTCGGGGCTCAGCGCTGCAT